TCTCTCCCCCTCCCTCTCTCTCTCTCTCTCTCTCTCTCTCTCTCCCTCCCTCTTCTGTCTACTCTAGTACCATGCTTTTCTGCCTGCTGCCACTATAGACGCTAACCCTCTGAAACTACAAGCCCCAAATTAAAATGCTTCCTTTTATAAGTTACCATGGTCATTGTGGTTTTGCCATGCTAATAGGAAAGTAACCAAGACAGGAAGCTACTGATGCTGTTTTGGGAGTTGTTTCGTTTGGATATGATGTGCCAGTAAATTGCTGTCTAAATGTCTTTATTTGTGTCCATATAACAATGCTGCTGGCAGCTATGGTCAGAGAGACTTATTTTGATAGTATATGCAGTTACTACAAACTCAACACTGGTCAAAGTGCTGGAAATGAGTGACTTTTGAGTACTTCTCCTTAAACTGGACATCTATATCACCCCTTCCAAGGCTCAAGGTACAACACGAGGAATTTAAGAGTCAGAGGAAGGGGTGGAGTACATAGAATTCTATTCTCAAGGCCTTATATGGCCATTACACACTTAAATTCTTAGCTGTTGTGGTTACCTGGACAGGACCTGCCCAGATAGTCCAGCCAACATTCCATCGTGGAAGTAAAGGGGCTTGTAATGCCATTTCCCTTCTTCAGGACTTATTGATCATTGCTAGATGAAAGGGGTCATAAAGGCCTACTTAATCTTCAAGACTGACAGTCAGTTACTGATTTCTGAGAGAGGAAAGACATTTTCTTCAATGGAATAACCACTGTAAGTTGCCCACTGTCCTGTAAATAATATCTTATCCATATTTCTATAGCTAACCCTAATTTAACTTCTTGGTTCATACACAAAAGAAGATATCAAAATACAAAAGAATTGTTTAAGAAGAGGAAGGGGATATATAGGGGTGAGAGAAGAATAAGATCAATGAGTGATAAATATGATAAACATGTGTAATATATATATGAACATGTTATAACACTCATCATTATATATAACTAACATATGCTTTAAAAGTTTTAAAATGAATAAAATTCTGTGGATAAGTTTTTACAAATTAAATCCAATAAGCAAAAGTCCCTTTTGAAAGAAATACATGTATGCAATATAGTAAAGAGTGGCATACTGCATCTTGACACCTAGACATACATGTATCAGGCTTGTGTTTCCTCTGTGTCATAACAAACTCCCATTATGCTCACCTCCATGGTTAGGGTGTCTCCAGAACTCTTCATTCCATTTATATGTGCAACTCTTCTAAGCTCCTTTAAGCTCTTTTGAGGTTTGTTGGTCACAACCAGCCACCGAGCTGACTCTGACAGCCACCTGCTCAAGAAGATATTGAAAGTAAAATCAATTTTCATGTGGTCAATTTTTGCACACAAAAATTGTCCTTGGATAGCTTTATTATTAGTCTAATGATTACAATTCATTCTGTTATAGTAGTAAATATAATCCTATGTTGTTTGCTGCCTTCACTAGGAAACAATTCGCCCATGCAGTACACTTGTACTTCTGGAATGCAGAACCAGAATCATATTGGCCTCCCTGCCATGACTTGCATGCAAATTTACATGGAGTTCAGTGAATTGAGATATAAGGGACACCTATATAGTATTTTTGCTGGATTCCTTTTTGAATGTAGGAAGCATTTAGTCATAAAAAAAAAACTTTTTCCAAAAATTAAGAACCTCTGGAAAATTTTATATAGCAATTATAACATCTGAATTGCATCCATTCCTACACAAAGCACAGGATGGCATCTAGCCAGTCATTAAAGTTGAATCTGACTCAGTTTCTCATCTATTAAATGGGTGCATCAGTGCCACAATGTTGATTGATGTATTGTGAAGATTTAAATTATATGAATAAATCCGACAGAAGATTTGCTTCTTTCTCTGTATGAACTTATGTTACTATATCAATGCTGTAATCATTTTTAACCAAATATTCCTTCTCTGCTGGTACAATATATAGCACTTTTAAAGTGTTTTTAAAAGAGGAAAGGGTATGCTTTTGCTCTGGGAGCTAAGACCACATAGTCTCTTACAAGAAGTAGAGGACCCAGCTTCCCCACTTAGGCCCATCCAGGCACTGCAGAAACTCACTGCACCAATCTGCAGGGGACAATTACATCTCACCCATACTAAGACTTAGTCCTCTACTGAATATTTTAAATGTCTCTAATAAAAGGGAAAAGTCAACATAAACAAAAAGGAAACACTCAACCAACAAATTTCTCTAACTACTTCAGTCCCTGCACAGAAACAACAGGATAAAACAAGAAACATCATGCTTCCAAAAATGACTAATCCCGTAATAATGACCCATAATAAAAATTACAAGAAAAATCCCAAATAACTCAACGTGATTATAACTATACTTAGCACTTCAAATATAATGTGAATATGCTCCAAGAGATCAAAAACAAAGAGAGAAATAAATAAGGAAGTCGTTGAAAGATACAAAAACAGAATTCAGTGAAAAGGTAGAATTACTGAAGAAAAACCAAACTGAAATGATGCTGAAAATGAAAAACTCAGTAATTAATTCAAATAGAAACCTCAGTGGAGCCCAGACTGGCATCAAACTCATGATCCTCCTGCATCTGCCTCCTTCAGCAAATCCTACTGTTGTGTTGCCACCAAAAACAGGCTTTGGGGCTTAAATTTTTAGTTGAACTCCTAACAGTGGGAGTGGAGTGTCTCTGACCGTTTTGCCTGCTTGTGGGACCTTCTTTTCTCCTGTGGGGTTGGCTCAGCCAGCCTTGATGTGAAGACTTATACCTAGCCTTATTGAATCTGGTTATGCCATGTTCAGTGGCTATGACTGGAAGCCTGTTCTTTTCTAAAGGGAAATGGAGGAGCAGTGGGTGGAGGGGGTCTGTGGCCAGGGTGAGAGAAGAATTAATTTAAGTAAATAACAATTTGGGGAGGGGAAAAAGCACCTCAGTGGAAAGCCTCATCAACAGAATGGATGATGGAGAAAATGAAGTATTAGGGATAGGAGACAAGGTAGAACAAACAGGTTGTTCAGTGGAGCCAATGACACATTTTTAAATATATATTAGAGGATTGTTGCTTGTGGAGTTCCACATTTTTGACCAAGTTCAAAGAAATCTGAGGGCCCAAGGAAGGGCCTACTTTTAACTCCAAGTTAAGACTACAGGTGTGTGCCAGGCAGTGGTGGTACACACCTTTAATCCCAGGACCCAGGAGGCAGAACCAGACAGATTTTTGTGAGCTTGAAGCCAGCCTGGTTCCAGGACAGCCAAAGCTTCACAAAGAAACTCTGTTTTTCTTTTATGTTTAATATCAAATGAGTAAATACATACCATATTTCTCTTTCAAGAAAGAAAGAAAGAAAGAAAGAAAG